CAGGTGCCCCGACTATGGTTTTTCTGAGGTGCAGCCAGGCCAGGGAAGGTGTAGCTCCGTCATTGTAAACATAAGCAACAATGTCGCTCCTCGAAGTATGAGGTGTAAGACTTCATGCTGTGAACTTTTATTCTTTCAGATAATTTTTTAAACCAGACTTTAGCCCTAATTAAAAACCACCTTTAGGTCATCTGACTTGAGCAGATGTTAAGAACTCCCACCCCTAGTGTATAGTGATGTGCTGTGAAGATGCCTTGATTAGATATGGCACGTCTGAACGAGGGATGGGACGGCGTGTCCGCTGGAATGATGTGTCCCCTGCCCTTCATGTCCCTCTTCACGCGTGTCTGGAGCAGCCTGGTTACCTGGTGGGTGTGATGAAGTTGATCACGCCAGGCGTGTGAGCATTGTGGAACCCGCAGTGGGTGACAGTCACTCGAAGAAGGAAATCGAGGCGCACCTGGGTGGTCTGGAAGCCTGATGCAGAGGCGAAGCCGGTGTTAAGTCAGCCCTAAGGGAAAGCATTGCAGTTCGAGATAAGTCGTTGGTTGAGCGCATATGGCTGTGCCAGAAGGCCTCCCTTACACACATCATTTGGGGACATAAAGAGGTTCTAAGGCCCAGCTCTGCCCTTCGGTGCTGTGTGATCTTGGGAGAGTCGCTCAGTCTCTCTGTGTTCTAACTACGCACCTCCCCTCCATGTTGAAAATGGACACACTCTGGTGTGGCACACACACACACACACACATAATCATAGGTGACGATGGCCCTTGCTGTATTTTTTCTTTTCCCCTATTTGAGCATACAGGAAGGCCAGGAGATGAACATTTTAGCAGAGATGAGAGTTTAGAATGTTTTCTCACTTCATCAAATCCTCTCAGGATGTACAGCAGCTCCAGAGACGCTGGAAAAGGGTTCTGGGTGGCACGTTTGTCGTGTTAAGGCAGTTCTGGCAGCATCTAATAGTGCCTTTCTGCCCCCAAAGTCACTGAGCAAATGGGTGTGTATTACTCAGAAATGGGAGTGACGCAGGAAAGGAACCCTCGGTAGGTACACAGCGACCCTGTGCGAGCGTCGGAGAGGGCGCGGGGGGTGGGGGTGGGGGGGGACAGGACCCGATCTGGGCTGAGCCCGGCTACTTCACTAGCTGTGGGACTCTGGGCAAGTCACTTAACTTCTCCGAGCCTTCATTTTCTCTTCTGAATATGGTCATCGTGAGGGTAACAGAAATCTGGGAGACCAGGCTACGGTGCCTGCTGTGTAGTAAACGCTCCGTAAGCGCCACCACCCTACCCAGAAGAAAGCAGTGGGGCCAGAAATGGTGTGCTGTGGGCACCAGGCCCCTTGCGGTGATGGCACCCCACCCCCCAGCCCTGGCTCCTCGGGAGACAGGGAGCTCCTGGACTCCTGAGGGTTTGTTTCCTTCCCTTCCCCCCTCCCGTGCCCCCAGCCTGGCTCTGTGCCTGGTCCACACAGTTGGTGCTCGTGTGTGCTGAATAAATCAATTAATGAATAAGAAAAGCTCTCTGTGAATAAGTAAGATGTCTTAGGATTTACGTAATCATCTTCAGTAAAAAAACAAAAACATCAGAAAGTTTTTTAGTTACAAAACTGTCTTAGATAAGGCAAATGAGTCAAGAAAATAATTGGGCACCTTTACGTTCAGTTTGTTGCTAGGATACAAAGGTATTACTTTGCACCCTGAAAAAATCTGCAGAGGATTTGGGCATGTAAAACAAACCCGTACAAAGATACGGTGCATATCAGCACCTCTCTCTGCATTATCTCACACTTATTAAAAATTTTTTTAGATGTTTATTTATTTTTGACAGACAGAGTATGAATGGGGGAGGGGCAGAGAGAGAGGGAGACACAGAATCTGAAGCAGCTCCAGGCTCCGAGCTGTCAGCACAGAGCCCGACGCGGGGCTCGAACCCACGGACTGCAAGATCATGACCTGAGCTGAAGTCGGACGCTTAACCGACTGAGCCTCCCAGGCACCCCTGCTTTCTCACACTTAATGATAAACTCTTTCCAACGCTGCAAGGTTATTCGATAAGAAATGTTACAGCAAGCACTCTAAGGTAGCAGGTGGCCGTTTGCCAGTGGAGCCAGAGACACAATATTTGCAGATGAGGGAAGATGCCCAGGTTCTAGTACAATTCAAATGGGAAGAAAATGAAAAAGAAGCGAGACTTTCTGTGGGTGTTGGATGTGCCGGCAAAGTTGTAGACATGAGAAAGTGGACATCCAGCATGCGGACGGTGAGAAGCGAGGGGTTAAAGGGAAGTTACGACGAGGGGGATACTTTTGCTGAACGGACGCGGGACAGTGTCCCCTGTGCAGTGAGGGCTGGCCGCCCCGCTGCCCCAGACTCTTGGTGCTTGCAGCCTTTGGACCAGGAAGATTGGAAATGATGAAATAAGGAAAAGTTTAGGAAGAGTAACGAAGACAGAAAGGTGGGGCATTTCAAAAGCCTAGCTGTGAAACTCATCGGGGAGGCAAATGTAAAAGGAATGTGACTTTTCTTTTTTTTTTTTTTAAGCAAGGGACACATTTTAAATGCATGGGAAAGGGGCGCCTGGGTGTCTCAGTTGGTTAAGCATCCGACTTTGGTTCAGGTCATGATCTCGCAGTCCGTTGAGGTCAAGCCCCACATCGGGCTCTGTGCTGACAGCTCATAGCCTGGAGCCTGCTTTGGATTCTGTGTCTCCCTCTCTGGCTTGTGCTCTGTCTCTCTCTGTCTCAATAATAAGTAATAAACATTAAAAAAAATTCTTAATGCGTGGAGACAGTGAGTCTCTGGTGGGAAAAAAATATCCTTGAAAGGAATGTTTTGATGGCTCAAAAATGAGCCAGTATGACCTGAGGATCCCACGGAGACTTGAAGGGCGCCCTGGAAAAGATCGATGCACTTGCGCCTGCATCGATTCTCTTTGCCTCCACACTTGGTAGGGACCTAACCGAGCAGGGGTAAACCCCCCCTCGCAGGGCAGAGCCCCTCCAGTATGTAGAGAAAAGGTGGGTTTTCCCGTCAGAAGACGAAACCTGAGTGGGACTACAGAAAGCAGTGTTGTTGTGCGAAGTGAGAGCCAGACAGGATTCCCTTTCTACCCCGTCCCTTCCCTCTGCACACACTCTGTGCCTTTGTTCCCCGTGAATGCCGTACTATCAAAAACACACAGAAACTTGGTATTATTAATCATGAGTTTCGCTAAATTGCAACCGACTGTTTACACGTTGGCTCAGCTTGATGGACCAAAAAAAAAAAAAAAAAAAAACCAACCCAAAAAAAACAACCAACATGGCAGTAAACCTTCCTCCTTACGATCCTGAACTTATTACATCATTTTTTCTGTTCCTTCTGGAAAAGAGACAAGAGGCTGGCAGGCTTTTCCAGCTGATAAAATTAAACTTCGTTTCATTAGTCATTACAAAACTATGCACAAGAAAGACAGAGTGATGTAAAACAAGAACAGGCAAGCTTTTTAATGTGGCGGGAGAGAGTGACACGCAGATAGCCCTGAATGAGCGGCTGTGTGTCCGTGTGTCCGGAATGAAAGCGTTACCTACCGGGAAATTAGGCAGAGAAGCCCCGTCCAGAAACAGTTAGATCCAACAGTCACCACAGAAGGATTGTTACTGGAACCTAATACGGGCTTATTACCTCATGTCAAGCCAAATTCAGATTAAAAATATCTCATCAGTGGAAAAGGAAGCCAGCTGATGGTTCTATTTTTGAGGGTTTTTTTTTTTGTTTGTTTGAAACTCATTAGTAAAATGGAAAGAAATTCTTTCCATAATTATATTCTCTAGGTTTAAAATAATCTCAAGTTTCAAGAATGTGCTGTACTTTAAAAAAAAAAAATCTCTTTGAATAGTAACTGTTTATTTTAGTCCCAAACTACTGTATAAATGACATGTATTGTGGCAGACTTTTCAGGACCAAAAGTAAAAAAAGCACTCAGGATGCTTCAGTCGAAAGTGGATGTCTGATAAATCGGGTTGAAGGAAGCAGAAACAAAGAAGGTACCCGAAGCCGTAGCGCGGGTGCACCAGGAGAGGCGGCTGTGTGCGGAGGGCCCCCGGGTGCGGAGGGGCGCTGGGCCACCTGGCCGGGGGGGGGGGGGGGGGGGGGGGGGGGGGGGGGGGGGGGGGGGCTGTGGACGGCGGCCCAGCGGGAGGCCAGGGCTGTGCCGGACACCTGTGTGTCCCCTTGAGCGTCAGGTCGAAACAACTTCGACTCGGTCGGTTTGTGTGGCTTTTCTTCTCATTTTTATGAAGGTGGAAATTTCGCACCCGTTCTATTTTATTCCGTGTGACTGCAGGATGCGCTCACGGATATGGGAGCTCGCCTGGGAAGGTTCCTTGGAAGAGGCCATCTTGCTGGCCTCGCGGTGACAGAAAGGTCGTCTGTGATTAGTCAGGAGCACGGTTTACACTGCAGCCCCTGGGGGCGGCGTGCCCTGCCCGTCCCGCCAGGCCCTGTCTCCACGTGCCCCGCCCCACACTTGTGCCCCGGGAGCAGCCCTCCGCCGTTTGCCCCTGGGCACGCGGGGTGCGGCTCCCTCTTCCTGGGCCGCGTGGCACCCTGCTGACAGGGGCTTGTCCTGTGCAACTTACCTATTTCCTTTTCCGGATGGCAGGCTCCTTGAAGGAAAGAGCTTTGTCTTTTCTTTTTTTTTTTTTCTTAATATTTATTTATTTTTGAAAGAGAGAGACAGAGGCTGAGCGGGGGAGGGGCAGAGGGAGAGGGAGACGCAGTATCTGAAACAGGCTCCAGGCTCCGAGCTGTCCGCACAGAGCCCAACGCGGGGCTCGAACCCTCGAACTGCGAGATCGTGACCTGAGCCGAAGTCAGACTGAGCCCCCCCAGGCGCCCCAGGAAAGAGCTGAGCCTTGTTCAGACCCGTAGGCCCTGCCTGTGAGGCGTGGGTCCTGGCGCCCGATGGGCGATAAACATGTAACAAATGGGTAACTTTTCCTTTGCTGTATTGTAGGCTGGCCGGGACCCAGGAGACAGACCCCGGAGCCCGAGAGCTTTGTCCCGGACTGCAGACCCGGGGGAAGCCTGTTGATGGCTTTTCCGCCGCCGTCGTCAAAGCCCTGGTGAACCGCGGGGAAGCGCTGGGTCGTGATTCGGATGCAGCTGAGGAAAATGCAGACCATCAAGAAGGAGCAGGCGTCCCTGGACGCGGGCAGCGGCGGGGACAAGATGCCGGTGCTCGGGCCCGGCCTGGCCGACGTCCCCGAGGACCTGGCGGCCGGCGAGGAGCTGCTGCTGGGCGAAGGCAGCGTGGGGAAGAGCAAGTCGGCGGCGTGCCGCCGGAAGCGCGAGTTCATCCCCGACGACAAGAAGGACGCCATGTACTGGGAAAAGAGGCGGAAAAACAACGAGGCGGCCAAGCGGTCCCGGGAGAAGCGGCGGCTCAACGACCTGGTCCTGGAGAACAAGCTGATCGCGCTGGGGGAGGAGAACGCCACTCTGAAAGCCGAGCTGCTCTCCCTCAAGTTGAAGTTCGGGCTCATCAGCTCGGCGGCCTACGCGCAGGAGATCCAGAAACTCAGCCATTCCACAGCCGTGTACTTTCAAGACTACCAGGCGTCCAAGTCCAGCGCCGGCCCCTTCGCGGACGAGCATGAGCCCTCGATGGTGACGAGCGGCTGCATTTCGGTCATCAAGCACTCCCCGCAGGCCTCCCTGTCCGACGTCCGCGAGGGGTCCCCGCTGGAACATTCACAGGACGGGGCCGCGCGGGGCGGCTGCCGCAGCCCCGACGGCAAGTTCCAGGCCATCAAGCAAGAGCCGGTGGAGCTGGAGAGCTACGCCAGGGAGGCTGGCTCCGTGTACCAGAGCCTCGTGGGGGCCGCCTTCCCCGGCTACTCCCACTCCCCACCCCTGCTGCAGGCCGCTCGGTCCTCCAGCAACTCCCCCAGGACCTCGGAGGCCGACGACGGCGCCGTGGGGAAGTCCTCGGACGGGGAAGATGAGCAGCAGGTCCCCAAGGGCCCCATCCACTCTCCCGTGGAGCTCCAGCGCGTGCACGCCACCGTGGTGAAAGTTCCAGAAGTGAACTCCTCGGCCCTGCCGCACAAGCTTCGCATCAAAGCCAAAGCCATGCAGATCAAAGTCGAGGCGTTCGATCATGAGTTTGAGGCCACGCAAAAGCCGTCCTCGCCCGTGGACGTGACGCCCAAGAGGCATTTTGAACTGGCGAAGCACAGCGCCCCGAGCGTGGTGCGCCCTTCCCTCCCCCCCTTCTCAGTGCAGGTGACGAACATCCAGGATTGGTCCCTCAAATCGGAACACTGGCATCAAAAAGAGCCGAATGGCAAAACTCAGAATGGCTTCAGAACGGGAGTCGTAGACCTGAAGGGCGGTGCCTACCAAGTGTCTGACCCCGAGAATTTGTTTCTGAAGCAGGGGATGATAGCAAACTTGTCGGCAGAGGTGGTGTCACTGAACAGACTCCTAGCCACACACCAGCTCTCCGCCTCCGACTCCGGGTAAACTGCTACTGAAAAAGCTCTGGGTGTTTGGAGAGCTGTCGTTTGCAATAGAGGAGTACGTTTTGTAGTAGGCGGGATTTTCACTGGACCCGTGATGTCATTCCACTGTCTATGTTCACATGCTGTCTGCTGGGTATCTTTCTGTGCACAGGTTACCATGGAGATTAGATTGTGTTATCACTCTGCCTTGTGTATAGTCAAATAGTCTGTTGCAAAGGCTGTACATATTGAACATTATTTTTGTTGTTCGATTATAAAGTGTGTCAGTTACCAGTTTCAATAAAGGATTGGTGACAGAGACAGAGCTGCCGCCGCCTTGCACTCGATCTTATGGAGAAGAGAAAGCAGTTTAGTTTACAAAAGCGGATGTGAATATACTCCGCGTTTTACTCACTCGAGGGAGTTTTCTCCCCTGACTTGGGGAAAACCGAAATGTGTGTTCAGCGCGTAATTTGTTTTTCTTCTAGCTTGGCCCAGGCTACCCTACGTTTGGAGACTTTCCAAAGAGAGGGGAAACAACTAACAATTTTCCCGCATTGGAGACGACTTTACTAAATTACTCCCTGCTATCTCTTTTCCTTTAAGCTTACATCTCCTCGCTCTTTTTTGTTGTTGTTGTTGTTTTTAAGTAGAAAAACCCAAGTTTTCTGGCATCAACCTTACTTGGATCATCTCGTCTTTAAATATGACACACTCATGTGGATAGTTGAGTCACTGACCTACTTTATTAATTAAAGGCTCTTTTCAAAGAGTGTGTGAAGGTTAAGGATGAAGTCGCTTTTATGTGATTCTAAATCTTAACAGTGATAAAGTTTAACAGTCTAGGGAGTTAAGCTCGTGAAATTCCAGTTTTATTTAGTTGCCAGAATTCCAAAGAACACATCAGTTACCCTATTTCGGCATGTATAGCCTGAGCATACGCAATGACTTGGTATTTTTAGGTTGCCAGTGAAGTATATAAATAGTAGCTTCTCCTGTAACGTAGAAGGCCAGACGAAAGCGTCATTCTGAGTAAATGGATGATAAGACCATTACTGATGATTTGCCCAGGTTCTGCAGTTGCGGGGAGAAGTGAGTGCGGACCAGATGTCTGCTGTTGCAGGGTGGGGAGTATGGGGGGCCAGGCAGAGGCCGGTCAAGCCCAGCTTTCTCCAAAGCTACTATCCTCCTGAAAGCCCTCTGCGGACCCACCTCTTTCCACACTGGCCTCCTTCCGGCCGCAGTGAGTGGAGGGGCCTGAGGCAACACAGGGCATGTGCAGAGTGACTTAACCCGCATTCTGCAGGGAGGGGCCCGACTGCAGCATCCCTGTTAGCAATCGTTTCGGCTGCCTGGTTTGAGTAGAAGCTGACTCCCTTATATTCTTAATAGTGGCCCTTTAGAGGCGCCTGGGTGACTCAGTTGGTTAAGCATCCGACTTCGGCTCAGGTCATTATCTCACGGTTTGTGAGTTCGAGCCCCGTGTTGGGCTCTGTGCTGACAGCTCAGAGCCTGTTTCAGATTCCCTGTTTCCCTCTCTCTGCCCCTCCCCCACTCAACACTCTGTCTCTCTCTCAAAAATAAACGTTAAAAAAATAAGTGGCCCTTTGACTTTCAGGCAGTGTTAATAACGCACACACACGCTGTCCACTCTGTCCTGTTGGCCACAGTGACCAGTTTTCTCCCTGAAATGTCCTGGCTCCTAGAGGAACGGGGTTGCTTTGAGGTCTCAGCCCTTGGCCTGATCTCTTCATATTTTATCAGAGATTGGGTAAGGCCGGTGGCAAGCCCATGTCGTTTCCAATGTTGCAGAGCACACGAGAGCACTGAAGTATTACGTGGCACTCGGGATCCCAAAGCACTTGACAGCCCGATAGGGGTGAAATGAACCTAACGCGGATTATAATAGGGATACAATGTAAAGTCAGATTCCTGTGTGAAAGGAAAACACAGATAATGCTATTCAAGTTCACAGTGGGGAGAAAAGCAATACAATAAGCACATATTGCGGGGGGGGGGGGGGGCGTGGGAAGCGTCAGTTCCCTCAAGCTTAGGGAGTCAGTTCCCAGTGGATGTTGGGTTGTGTCCTTACAAACGGTGTCCAAACATGAGGACACCGTCCTGTCACACATGGGTGGGTGTGGGCTCGGCGGGGCAAGAGTAAATGCTCCAAAGGAAACTAGCGGCTCCAAAGGATCTCGCGGCCACGAAGTAGGAGCAGATATTAAGAAACCTTGAGAAACTGCCCTGAAAAGAGGCGAACCTTCTGTACAGTGTGGTGCTGAAGGGGGGTCAAGGACAAGCAGACGACAGCAAGAAAGGTAAACCTGGTGGCACCCGGCTGGCTCAGTCCGAAGGGCGTGTGACTCTTGATCTCTGGGTCGTGAGTTTGAGCCCCGTGATGGGGGTAGAGTTTACTTAAATAAATAAACTGAAAGAATATATATATTTAAAAAGGAAAGGTAAACTTGAGTCATTTTAAGGAAGGAGTAGGCATTTGTCAGAGCAGCACAGAAGCAAAGGGGTCTGCCTGAGGCTGTGGCACCTTCCGTGTTAATTGCTCGTATCCGTTGTCATGGAGAATATTTGGATCTGAACACACTTGGATGCCTTCTTCCTCCGTCATTATGCCTTACAATCTCAAGTATCTAAAATGTGGTTGGGAAGATGTCTAGAATGTTAAAGAATGGCAGGGGCGCCCAGTGAGTGAAGCGTCTGACTTTGAGCCTTGAGTCAGGCTCTGTGCTGTCAGCTCAGAGCCTGGAGCTGCTTTGGATTCTGTGTCTCCCTCTCTCTCTGCCCCTCCCCCACTCAAGTTCCGTCTCCCTGTCTCTCAAACATAAACATTTAAAGAAATTAAAAAGGAAATAAAAGAATGGCAGGAGCAACCAATTCCACACTCACTAGGAACCCAAGAAACAGTGTATTTGCACTGACACTTCGGTTTCGCGGTATGTGGGGCAATGCCCCCACCTCCCCTCCCCAATCCCAAAGTTCCAAAAACCTGACACAAAGCGCTTGTACACTGAAAAACTCTTTAACAGTTTTCCGAAAGCAAGAATCAGAAGGCTCGGAACACTAAAATTCCTATCAGTTCCCGGGAGGATGGCCATCAGGTAGGGCTTGATAGGGAGGGAGCTATGCGAGCCTGCTGAGCAGCCATGGGCAGGTGGCCCTGTGATGCCCCCGCCCCTGCTGAAGGGTGGGGAAGGGCAGGAGAGCAGAGGGCGGGTGAGGTGAGGGTTTGCGGGAGGCCGGGATGGATCTGGGAGGGATGCACGGCCGCCGTCTGTAAAGGCGGCAGAGGCTGTGGGAACCTCAGATCGGATGCGGTCAGAGCCTTCTGCCTGAGCTCGGGGAGCTGATTTGCCTGCGGGAATGCAGCGGGACACAGCTTCGCTCTCCAGCGAGCGCGGGCCCGGGGCTGTGTGGCGCTCCGGCCTCCTGCACAAGGCCACTAACAGGAGCTAGACCTTGCGGAGCTCTGCCTACGTCCAGGATGCAAACGTAGCACAATGTTAGTTCGCGTTCTCCGGAGAAACAGAGCGATAGGATATGAGGGCATCTATATGTAAAGATCTACGGAGAGAGACTGAGATTTATTATCAGCAGTTGCCTCATGCAGTTATGGGGGCTGAGAAGTCCCACAGTATGCGCTCTGCCAGATGCAGGCCCAAAGAAGTCAAGCCAGTTGTCTGATTCAGTCCAAGTCTGAAGGCTGAGGAACGAGGTGGGCCAGTGGTGTAGACCCCAGTGAGACGTGGCGTCCCACTCAGGCAGTCAGGCAGAGGGGGATTCTCCCTTCCTCCACCTTTATGTTGTATGCATGCCCTCACCGGATTGGACGAGGCCCACCACACTGGGGAGGGCATCTGCTTTACTCAGTCCTCTGATTCAAATGCTAATGGTGCCCGGAAATGTCCTCACAGACACACCCAGAATCACGCTCCATCCAGGCACCCCGTGGCCAGTCAAGCTGACAGGTAAAATTTCCCATCACACCTGCCCGAGCTCACTGAGCTGGCAGACCGGAGGCGGGGATGTGGCATCAGGGGCCATGCTGCTAACACAGGGGACACCTGCCTTAACTAGCAGCGCCATGCAAGGCAGAACTCAGAAAGGAAGGGGAAAGTGGAGGGTCCTCAAAACATTAACACTAGAACTCCCCTAGGACCCAGCAATAGCACTGCTAGGAATTTACCCATGGGACACAGGAGTGCTGGTGCATAGGAGCACACGTACCCCAATGTTCATAGCAGCACTCTCCACAATAGCCAAAACATGGAAAGAGCCGAAGTGTCCATCAATGGATGAATGGATCAAGAAGATGTGGTTTATCTATACCATGGAATACTCCATGGCAATGAGAAAGAATGAAATCTGGCCATGTGTAGCAACATGGATGGACCTTGAGGGTGTTATGCTGAGCGAAATAAGTCAGGCAGAGAAGGACAAATACCATATGTTTGCACGTATAGGAGGATTAGGAGGAACTTGACGGAGGACCAAGGGGGAGAAGAAGGGGGAAATGGTGGGGGGGGGGGGAGGGAGGCAAACCATGAGAGACTCTTGAATGCTGAGAACAAACTGAGGACTCATGGATGTGGGGGGGAGGAGGGGGAGGGGCATGGAGGAGGGCACTTGTGGGGATGAGCACTGGGTGTTATGTGGAAACCAACTTGACAATAAACTATATCTAAGAAAGAAAGAAAGGGGGAAAAGCACAGTAAGTATTTGATCCCCTTGCTTTGGGCCTAATTGCCTCGTGTCTCACATCGGGTCTTTTCGTGTTTGTTTTTCCCCTGCCCGTTGTCACGCCCACTGCTGCAGAGGGACCACACCAGGCCCACGTGGAATCACGTCCCTCACCCTCTGCAGACCCTCTTGTTAATAAATAATAAAGGCCGAACTCCCTTGCCTGGAACATAAGTCCCTCATCATTGTAGCTGGTACCAGTGCTCCCAGACTTCCCTCCTTTGTACACCTGGGAGCTCCGAGCCAGGGGCCGCAACTGTGAGGGAGCGTGGCGTTAATTTAACAGAGACCAGCCACGCACCGTGCGCACACGTGTAACCATGTCTCTGTGAGACGTTTATCCCTACGTATGTGTCTGTTCACGGTGTAGATGGATCTTACTACAGGACATGGTCAAAGTCAGCTTCGTACCACTGATGTCCGCTGTTTCCCCTGGAGCCCTGGGGTCCCATGAGGAGGCTTCAGGGACCCTGGGAGTCCAGCGGAGGGGAAGGGGGAGCTGGTGGTAATGAGCCCTGCTCCCCTCTCTCTTGGTTTTGGGCTTTTCTGCCCGTCCTCACTCTTTGAAGATACATTCCCCAAACCTGGGCGT